GAAAGAGGTGAAAAATTATGGACAGGAAGACAATATCTTTCAAATTCCTCTGAATTCAATGCAATTCTAATTAAAATTCTAAAAAACTTTTCATGGAGCTTATCAAGTCAAACTCTGACCTGGGAAAGATGCTGCAAAAATAGCAAAAGAATCTGAAAAAGAACAAAGCATGGGGAGCTCGTCCCATTTAACATCAAAACACACACTATATACGTAAACTAAGTAATTAAAAGTGTGGTAGTCATCCCTTGGTATGAGGGGGACTGGTTCCAGGACCCCCCATAGATACCAAAATCCTTGGCTGCTCAAGTCCTTTATATAAAACGGCAGCAGGACAGTTGGTGCTCTGCATCTGCACATACAGATGGCTGGCTGTCAGCAAAGAGTTACAAGTATCAATGATCAGAGCAAAAAGGCAAAAAACAACAAAGATTTAATCTATAATAAATGAGTATTTAAAATAACTAGAAAAAATCATGAAATATTTTTAAATGGCTAGCACAACAGGTTACTTATTTGAACAAAAATTAATATTACGAGATTTCTACCTCAAACCAGGCACAAACAATTGTAAATTGCTAAACAAAAGGCAAAATAAAATATTAATTTAGGGTAAGAAAGGTGTTCAGATGTAAGAGTGTGAAGCAAAAGACAAGGTGCCCAAATAACAAAGTGAAAGAAATAGAAGAAAATAGCTGTATGATATATATAGAAAGACGGGTATATAAAAAGAACTACAAGAAAATAACACCAGAAAGTTGGGCACGGGTTATAATTATGCAATACAGAAGAAACACAAATGATTGTTAAACACAGAAATATCAATGCTTCAAAGTATTAGGGGAAATGCAAATTAAAATACCAACATGATACTATTTTTTCACCCAGACTGGCAAAAGTTAAAGATTGATACTATTAAATGTTATACAATTTATATGAAAACAATGAAAAGAAAACTTATTTCATATACACATACATAGAGAAAAGCTTGGCAGAGGTAAAACACCAACTATATGTTACCTCTCAGTTGAAACTGGAATTTAGGTTTTGGTCAAAGAGAACTTTGGTTTACCTGTATTAACTGGCTTTAATAATGATAATATATTACTGTGTGTTGAAAAAGATAAAAGAATTTTAAAGACTACGGAAAGATATTTTACCCTGAAGTAGTACTTATAAGTGTGGTCCATGGACCAATGCTGCTGCTCCATGAACCATTTCCAGTGTGCAATGAGATAAGTACAGAAATTAAGTGTATGTTTAGAAACTTTTATAGCAATTTGATAGATTAATTTATGACTGTTGACTCTAATAAAATTTAAGCTTATTTTTTATGTCTTTTTATTTTGTTTTTCTAAGTAATTGGTTGTTATATTTTACAGAAGTATGGGTCTGTAATGGGTTAAAAAGAAAACCAACAGTCCTCTACAGTTTGAGAAGCACCCCTCAAGTACTCATAGATATATGCAAGATTTGCTTGACACAGTGCAAAGCAAATGGTCACCTGGAGTAAGATGTAAATTCTGGCAATTAGGAATTTTGGATTATGGTCCATTACCTAGGTGGAAGGGTAGGATTAATAGTTCAATGGTCTAATTCAGAGGTTGACAAAATTTTCTTTGGAAAGGTCGGAGAGTAAATATTTTAGGCCTCGTAGGCCATGCAGTTTCTGTGACAACTACCCAACTCTTCTGCTATAGTGTGAAAACAGCAGTAGACAACAATGCAAACGACTGGGTGTACCTCTGTTCCAATAAAACTACTACTATAAACAGGTAGTGGCCCAGATTGGCCCATGGGCCATAGTTTGCCAACGCCTGGTCTAAGCCCATTTCAAAATCAATGTGAAAAGATTATAAATCAGTGCTTTAATACTTTCATTCATTAAAGTCAACATTTTTCTTACCTCTGCCACCACTCCTTCCTTCCTCTTAGTTACCACTGAAACCCAGGAATAAAATTTACCAATTTTAAGTTCTATGCTAAGCCATGTTTTACAGTTACAGCTACAAATATAATATAGTCCCATATGTTGCACACTTGGATATTCTCCTACTACAACTTTAAAGAATTTGAGTCATGTGTACCTGATTTGAAGACCTTGGAATGCTGTTCTGGCTTCTCATATATTATCCAATAGGATACAGTCCCCGATTAGAGATCAGAAACATCTCAAATATATCTTACTGTTCAGATGCCAGAGCTAACCCCCAGTAAATTTTACAGAATGAATTCCACAGAATAGAAAATAGCAGTTTTACCATTCCTATACCTGCCCATATCCTCAATTGTTTTAAATGTCTAAAAGGGTTAAGTAGATCCTTCGAACTGCAAAGCATAAAGAACCTGAAAATGGTGATTTCCACATTCAGCCTACAAATCAATAAGACACATTAACAGTGTTCCTTATGGCTGCAAGAAGAGATCGAACAGCACATTTTCCTATTGGTTCTGCCTTCAATATAAAGTT